TAGATAGAGTATATATATTTTTTTTTTTTATTTATTATTTATTTTTTTAAGCATGCATATGCCCTCCATATATTTCAATTCAAGAAAATACATTAATTCAGTCACAAGAAAAAGAAGTACTACATTATGAAATATATTTTGGGTATATGAAGGTTGAAACTATATTTTATTAAGCTTCTCATGACACATATTTAGAATATTTTTAAAATAGATTTTAAAACAGATTTTGGCCTGGAAAAAAATTGAGGTAAAACAAAAATATTTCTGATTCTGCATTATTTCTAGGTGACTAATGAAATGTAAATAAATGAACGTCATTGTGACTTTGTACAGACGCTCAAGATGATTATTAGATCACCTCAAATCATACACTCTCAGAAAAAAAGGTACAAAGCAGTCAGTGGGGTGGTAAAGCATAGGTCTTTGTATCTTATTTACCCCTAAATGCTACATATTAGTACCTTAAGAATACATACTAATTATTTTAAAAGTATTTAAGAAGTATATCAATACGTGTTATTAGCTTATGAAAGGGTACCACTAGTGTTCCAGTGTTTTGTACCTTTTTGTCTGAGAGTCTAGAACAGAATCATCAGGTTTAGTTCATGCAGCTCCAGAAAAACAGACACACACTAAATACTGAGAGCTTCTCATGATTTTAAATTCAACTTTTTACTCCAGTCATTCTAATAATAACGTGCAATGAAAAAAATCCTTCAACTGAAACTGAAAGAAGCATTTTCACATCTGCTCTCAGACGTTCGGCCCTCATTGAGTTTATATAACAGAGTCAGTAGCATGCATATATTTGATGGAAATGATAACATAGAAATGCTCATGTGATGGAATCAGGGTCACAAATCCACCAGCATTCAGGCCAGAAATACCACTGAAACTGACTAATGCCCCAGATTAAAATCCCCCGTACTGAATTGATGTGTTTCGACAGACACTCTTCTGTCTGTGGATATTAAACTGAAACTCTAAAAAACACATGGATAGTTTTATGCATTTAAATGTTGCACGCACCCCGAGTTCCTTTGGCCGTCCTTTAAGAAAGACCTTGTAAGTGTCTTTGAAGACGCAGGTGAATTTCTCGGGCATCAGCTGGCCGTCTCCCATGTTCCTGAGGTTTCCCAGAGGAATGCTGATGACCATACAGTCATCCGGCTTAAACGTGTAGCGCATCTCTCCACCAGACGCTGTCTGTCAAACAACAGACATGTGAGAACGTTCCGGCAAGCTTCTCTCAACGCCATGAACAGAATGTTCATTCCAAGTGATCTGGTCTTTAATAGCGTTCTCAACATTAGCACAAGAACGCTATAATTATACATCATTCAAGGAAGGATTTTTATTTGTATACTCATCCGTTTTTTAAATGTTACTTAAATGCTGCTACATTTTTAAAAAGTTATCACTTACTACTTGTTTTCCTATAGGCCTAGTTGTTCCCAAAATGCTGTCTGTAATTGAAAAGAAAAGAAAAGTCAAAGTTATGAACAAACATTCTTCCAGTAATGTTAACAGAACCTTTATTACAAGTTATGGTCTCAAAACATGTATACATCCTTCAGCAAATGCTTTTTCTTACATGTTTTTTACGTTATTCTAATGTTTTTTAAACGTTACTATTTACTACTTTTATTGGTAATGAGATGTTGCCTGTAATTGAAAAAGAAGAGAATCTTAAGAGCTTTGCTCAAGTCAAAGTTATAAACAAATGTTCTTCCAGTAACTTTAACAAAACGTTCATTCCAAGTTATCTGGCCTTTAATAACGTTCTCAAAATGTTAACATAAAAATGTTATTTATATATCATCCATGGAACTTTTTTTTTATCAAATGTTACTTAAATGTTGCTACTTTTTAAAATGTAACTTTAACGTCATTCAAATGTTACCATTTACTTGTTTCAGAATGTTCAGAGAACATTCAAAAGTAGCGTTCCCATAATGTTTGCAAAATTCTAAAATGTAACATTTCCTTTAACAATAATCCTGTTTTCACTAACGTTCGCAGAAACAAGAAAAACGTTTAAAAAACTGCACTTTTGGAATGTTCAGAAAGGATTCAGAAATAATGGGAATGTTTTTAAAATACTCTCTCTCTCTCTAATTACTTTACCAATATTCTGCAGTTCAAACGTTTGTTTAAGGAGTAAAAAACATAATTAAAGAGGTTATATGTTATAAATGAGTCCGAGCAGATGCTCCTCGTCT